GGCGAGATCAGGTGTCATCTGTCTACACCACTCTTCACTTCATGCTGGATCAGGTATCGTCTGTGCTACTGCAGCTGGCATTGGGCTGGTAGCAACAGCACAGCTTGTGCTGCGCCTGGCTCAACACAGCACAACTGAGCGCACACTGATCCAGCCCTAATTAGTGTTAGCAGAGATCTGGCAGGAAGGATTGTTAAATCACAAATCTGCAGCTCCAAGTTGCTCTTTTACAGGTAAACAGGCATTAAAGAGTTCTGTCTTCCAACTTTAGCCCAGCCCAGTCAGAACTACCTAGTCTCTGAAAATTACGTTTGTTGAAAGTCAAAATATTGTAAAACATGTTGTGTGTGTTTTACAGTTCCAGGCACTTTAGAAACCTAGACAGGAACCTACAAATGGCTCAGTGACAGCACAAGGGTAAGTTATTCCCAACAAAGCCGTGCTTTAAGCCAGTTTCAACAGCACTTGTGGATAGACATCCTGTAATTGACCTGCCATCCAGTCTGTTCAGGGTCCCACAAAATGCACTGGAATATACAGAGCAAATAATTAAAATCAAATTAGAATGTATTCCACACATTGTACGTGCATTCTGAGCACTCTTTCCCACAGGCAGGGGGAAATCAAGTGAACAAAAAGAAACCAGAAGTTTACCTTGTGTAAGCTCCAAAATATTAGTAACTTCAAATAATTATATAGTCACTAGCACATAAAAACTAATTTGCTTATTAAAAGCCTGTGCTTATGCTCCCTTACTGAGACCAGTATGTGAATCATTGCAGTCATCAGAACCCATGTCCTTAGTTTCTTAGGGATTTCCACTGAAACCCATGAAGAAAACAGAATATCGTGCCCACCATGCAACCTTTCTGCATTTCTTCTGTACACACACACAACTCCCATGGCAGGAACAGAGTGGGAAATACTAAAGGCAGAAGAGGAAGAAAATAACCAAAGTGCGTGTTCCGGAGAGATGACTGGGATGTATCAATCTCTTTTTTATAAAGAAATAATCCACTGACTGCTAGAAAGTGAAGCAGACGCTATCTCCATGGAGCCCCTCCACTCCATACCAGGCTTAACATTTGTTCCTCTCATAGCTCTCCAGACTGTGTAACTCTGTAGACCTGTTCTGATGGAGCTTTCTGCAAATACCCCGTGAAATGCAGTTTCTCACTGCAGAAGGGGGCCCATGAGGAAAATGTTAGTCAGCATCAAATTCTTTCCACAGTCTATGGACATTTATTAATTCAGTCCTTTTCCTCCTGAGTCCAGGGCCTCGGATTTCCCTAAGCTCTCTTTGGACCCCACAGACAGCAAGAAATTATGTTTCTGAAGAGACTGAATTTGAAGTTTAGGGAATATCCGAGCATAAGGGTTTCTCATTGCGCTATGCGTGTTGTCTAAATAGGATATTAAGAAATAAAAATTCAAGTTCGTGTGACTTTTCTGGCCCACTTTCAGTTACTAAAATATTCATTTTTGACCCCATGAAATGCGTGAATTATGAACTGTTGGAGTTCAAAGTAATATAACACCATGAATTGCATGCTCAGTTTCAGTAAACACTAATTCATAATTGCAGCCCACAGTTTACCCAGTTTCAAAGTAGTTACCAAGTCAGAAGATAGTCATGACATGTCAGTCATCATTCTGTGAGAAGAGCACATCCCAAATGAGGTGTCTTTAAAGACAAGAAACAGGACAACTTGCACTGACAACATTTATCCTTTGTACTATGCAAAGCTCTCCTGATTCATCACCTATTCATCTGCCACAGCCATGTTACTGCCCTACATCTGTTTGCGTCTTAAATCACAGCCCTACTGCAAACTCTCACCAGTTATGTGCCCTTGGTAAAGTAAAGTACCATTCCAAAATGATCTACTAAAAAGAGATCTAGGAACTACTGAAGGATTAGAGTATAAAATATTTCTCTTTTTTCTGTCTTAATTGCTATTTCCCTAACTCTGATTATTTCTTTTAATCTCTTATATTTTATATTTCCTTTATTTGTTTAAGGCACTTCAGATCAGAAAGGCCTGAGAGCAATACATTTTTTTAATGCAGAGAGACAGTTTCTAGCATTACTCCATTCTGGAGGGGAACAGCTGAAGTTCAGAACACTAGCCTTATTCATACCTTTTATTTTTTGAACCCTAGGTTTCTCCCCCATATACTTAGGCCTGCCGCAGGCATCATGCAAAAATCTTGCAAGCACACACCTGTCAGTCATCAGGAGCATGTCAATCACAAGCTGCAGCAAAGGTAGAAATTTATGACTAAAGCAATTTTTTTCTACTAATAAGGAAAAAATACCTAGATGGCTTGGAAAAGGCCAAAGGTTGCCAACAGATGTACTGAACAGCATCACCTAAGCTTTGGTGGTCGGTAGAATTTACCTACCATTCAATTTTCAGGCCTTTAATCATTAATTCTGGCACACGTAACAAGGTTTTTGACAATTCAAATGCTAAAAAATACATATACATGTACCCAGTGATAAGCAAATATATTTCCCCAACAACAGGGAACACACTATCCTAAACTAGAGTGGTTAATATTATCAGCCCATAAGGCGTTTCTGAAGATACAGCCTGTACTTTTATGTCATATGGTTACAATGCCTTGACCAAGAACTTTCCTGAAGAATTCTCACTGTGCCATGTACTTGAACCATTCTCTTAAGTTACTCCAGAAGGAAGAGAACTGTCTCATTTTACCCAGTTCAGCCCATACCCCTGAAATACCAAGAACAGAAGCAATCTCCACATTCTCCCCAAACACAAGCAAGCCCACATGTACAAGTAGAACAGAACAGGGAAAATTTTTTCCCTTGAAGGATTGCTAAGAGCTCCATGATAGACAGGAAGAGTCCCATGAGTCTCACAGAATAGTTTTCATTTGTGCTCCAGGTAATATTTCCATATCAAAAAAACCAGAAGGCTTGCTCAATTGGAGACCTGTAACAAAACATCTACTTGTTGATGTATGGTTTATGCTATACGCAGCAAAATAAATGAAGCCAATGAATGTTTTACAAGTGTCATGTTAGTATTCTGTAAAGGATATTTCTCCATTAGAAAGCCCTGATACTTAAAATGGATTCAGTGGGACTAATAAATTGGTCCAGTAGGTGTTAATCAATAATATAAATGAATAACCAATGAAAAACTGCCACTAGTATGCCAAAGGGGAAATCATCCAAGAATGAAATCGGTGCAATAATACAAGTGTATTGTATCCTTCAACAAATACATGTAAAGCATACTGGATAGAGACCAATTCCTAGTACAAAACTATGTGGTCCTTTAGACAGCCTCAAAATACTTGATTTTATAAGGAATTTTGTCTAGGATAAGAATTTTTTTCTAATTGTAAGCATTGATATGTTGAATTCAAAGATGTACATATGCTGTGCTTGTGCACTGGATATTTTGTTTAAATTTTGTAGGGTTCTGCCCCCCCCCCCCCCCCCCCCCCCCCCCCCCGTTTAATTATTCTTGCAGACAGCTTTTTGACAGAGCTCTGAACCCTAGAGGAAAATCCCTGGAGATTTACATGAAAAAAGCTGGCGTTCCCTCTTATTTGCCTATTGAACACACGCACAGTGACAGATTGTTTGGATGGGCAAAGCCTATCCTGTTTTAACATCTGAAACATCTGTCCAAGATCCTCAGACAGTCTGCATGCATTTACAAAACTCTGACTTTGCTCATGTTTATAATACTCATTTTACAGTGCTTAAAGCACTGCCCACAGCTCCTGCAAGAGCTGAACTTGATGATTTTTGCCACTAAAAATTCCCTCTTAGGCACAAACCACTAATCTCCCAAGTTAATTTGGTTTTCATTGTTTGAGACTTTTGGCAAAACCCCACATTTGTGCCAGAGTACCTGGCACAAATTTTTATATTTACAATTGAACCAGACACAAAATCTATATATGAAATGCTTGAAATTATTGGAATTACTTTCTTTGATGATGGAGGAAGCTGAACTACATCTTTCATTTTCCAACAGAGACAAATGAACTAACATGTCACAGGATTATTTTTTTTCCTTTGTAGAAAACTTTTCCCCCACCACCACAAAACAACCACTGGCTCTTCTGGCCTATCCCATTCCACTACCTCTCATCCAGCAACACTAAAAGAATGGCTGCCATAAAGCTGGCAGCAAGAATTTTGACTCAAGATTGTCAATACTGATGCTGAATATTTAGATTATTATTAAAAGACAGGTCAAAAATGCCTAAGACATCCAGAAAAAATTGACATCTTGCAAGGGATGTGTACATCAATATTTGAAAGTTTTATCTTTCATGAAGCCTCAATGGCTACTTTTTGCTAACACTAAAGCAATAAAATCCACATTCAGTTAAACTCGATCTTCCACAACACCACAAAACCATACCACTGCTCAACTCAGCCAGTGTGCAAACCTCAGATGATTTTTTTTTTCACAGTTGTGCCTTTACTGTTCATTCAGCAACTGGCATCACCTCTCTGCACTGATGATCTGAAAGCTTCTCTGCCTTATATTAACACATTTTCTTTTAAATCTCATATTCCTTTGGATCAGATAGCAGATAGGTGGAATTGATTATCTAAAAATCAGGAAGCAAATAATAAAAGACAAAACAATAGAAACCAATTAACACCTTACATATCAGAACTAGGTATACCAAGGGGTTGATATAAAGGCCCCCCACTCTAACCCTCTGTTATATTATTTCCCACTCATCCCCAACACGTGAAATTATGTGGCAAAATTCCCACTGGAGAGAGTTTGGCCTCAACTCTAAGCTGTCTTTTTATTGTGCCTCCTCAGAGGAGAAAAGTTGAAGCAGCAGCAGTTTTATATCACCTTCACATTTTCTCCCCTTTATCCCTGGGCTAGTCCCATGCACAATAGTTCACACCTAGCTTCATATGGACTCAGAGTCCACTTCTGGCAGCCAGGAGTTCCCAGCACATGGAAATGTTACAGCCTACTCACTTTGCTCAGGAAAGGGTGCTTACACCGAACAGAAAAGCAGGAGCTTTTTCAGGCAGCAGAAGCGCCATCCTGGTGACCTTCTGTCAGCAGAGGAGTCTTTCAGTCATGAGTTAAGCCAACATTACAGCTACTTCACACTACCTGGTAGCTGAGCTGAAGACCTGTCTGCTCATCTTGTCTGCAGTCTAGGGGGAAAAGAAAAAAAAAAGAAAAAAGTTAAAAAGGAACAATAACAATAAATGGGAAGCATTTGACAGGCAGCACAAACAGTATGTTTTGTCAGTAACGCCATGTAAATCTTGCAATAGATATGATATGCTGACAGATGCAATAATGTGCAGCAGAAGCACAAGTGTGTGTAGCCCTCCCACAGGTATCCAGCAAGGTTTTCGTACTCAGATCTGCAGTGACTGGACACATGTGGCAGGTGCAGGAGGTTTTAAGACTGCTCCCACATCCCTGCTGCTCACAGTGGTTTGCTGGCTTTATTTCAGGCATTTAGCAGACTCTGTGAGCCCTTCTAGGCTTGGAATTGATAGCTGCCAGACTGCACACAAGAAGATACTCATTAGTTGTTGATACCAAGAGAACATCAGCATCCATGTTTTTTTTAATTCTGTTCTTTCCCCATCTCGGGATTTAGGAATAAAATTTAAAGTGCTTTTTTTGGAAACATTGGTTACTATGGCTTCAAAACAAAACATACTATAACACACCCACAGGACATGTGAAATGTTGGATACAATTTTCCAAGTCAATAAGAGACATTTATGTATTACGCAGGCTGAAAAAAGGTATTATATTTAATACTCCCCTCCAATTCAACTCAAGGTTTGGGATTTTTTTCATCAGCACTACAGAAACTGCCCCCATGCTCATCAAAAGTGATTGTTAGAGTTCCCATGTCAACAGCTATTTTGATAAAAATTTACTCGTGACAAAGTAGGCAATAAATAATCTCAGTACATTAAACAACAAAAAAAATTAGAGCATTCTAATCTGTATACACCTGCCAGATATTGGATTCAGATTTTATGTAAATTTTGAAGGTAAAAATCAATAGTTCAGTTGAACTGACATTCTTAGCTACTCATACAGCATCATAAAACAGAGCCCAGTAGTGGTGGATTTTTAAATATCCATTATACCAATGTTCACTGCAGAATTCCAATTCCTTCCAGGAAAAACATGCACAAAAGAAGTTGTGTTTCAGCTTCTTTTTAGAAATTCTTTGACTCCAATTCAAGTTATTTTGTTCAAACACATACTGTATCTCAAAAAACTGCAATAGCAAATTTGATTAGTGTCAATTCCAGCCTTGCATAAAACTTCAAAGACTTCAGTGGCTTAGGCTTATTCAGAAAAGTTTTCAGATGTTGTTAAAAATATATCATAATGTTATGATTTGCAGAATGATTTCCTGCACTTATTTAGAAATGCCTAAACAAGTGGTAAGAAATCATCAGTTTGTATCCTTCAGGAAATTAAACAATTCACTGTTCAAATCAAACAGTCTCCCCAGCACCTCCAGAACAACTGGTCTATGGTATTCCCATTTTTCATCATTTGAACCTACAACAGGTAAATAGCAGACCATGAACTGAAACATCTGAACAATCCAATACGTACCTTTCTTGGGATGCCCTTATAAATACAATTCACATTCTGGGATTTTAGCAGAGTAAGTTAGACATAATGTTACCACCACCACTCTGCTGGCATTTTTACTAATGAACATGACTTCATAAAGTTGATAAATGAAGCCCAGATATGTTCCATATCTCAAATAGATACCTGAATCTATGTGCCTCTCTGGATATATATTTTTCTGAAGCAACCAACCACACAAATTCTTCAAAAAGCACTCACATGTCCAACTGCAGTCTTGATTGTGCTTCTGCCACCTTTGCAAGCCTTTCCCATCAGTTTTATTTGGCACTTGCTGTTCAGGTTTCAGCTTCACACAACCTGCAGTTTTCCCTAGATAATTCCACCCATGAAAACAAAAAAGAAAAAAAAAAAAAGAAAAGAAAAAAAAAAGCAGGGGAAAGCAGGTGTGAAACAATTCATCAACTGAAGAGTCAACACAGATCATTTACACCTGAAACCTATTAGCCTGGTAAAGTTACAAAGGGTAAGGAACTCCAAGATTTGAGCAAACTCCTAAATTGTGCATGTAGGAAATAACTAAATATACAAATTTTAGCCTTTAAATATTTTTTTAATGAACTTGATAAAGTATTACAAGGTCAATAACATTTTTATTGTTAAAAACAGATAAATAATGACCAAGGGAGTTTTCAGATGCAGGGGTTTTTATATTCAGTGTATACACTGAGTATACACCACCTATTAAGAGTCAACAATTTCCTCCCTCTTTTCTACTCACATGCCTCCCACAGACAGCTAGGTAACTCCTTCAGCCACTGCTTATTTGCTTTGCTGGGAGAAGCAGCAATATAACCAACTCTCCTTACAATTTCTCCCTAATTTGGAAAGTGATTAATCACCAACAAGAATGATGGCAATGTTCATCTCTTCAGTCGATTATGTTATCACTACAATAATTTACACTGCTAAATTTATGTGTGGTTCAACTCACACTTCACTTAAATATTCAGCTAATGAGAGTTTTCCCCTTGATATTCCTTGCTGTAACAGCAGCCTTTCCAGATCACAGGAAATCTCTGCAACCACTATTTAACTCCACAGTAGCCTCAATGATTGAGGTTTTTAAAAAACCTATATCATCCCAACTTCCCAACTAAAGAGAAATGAAAATAAAGGAACGTTTGGAAATGCACTGATCCCCACATCTGTCCCTCTGCCAAGTCCCCCACAGCACAGACACATCCAACTGAACTTTGCACAGAAAAGTAAAGTTCATGCAATAACATTTGATAATTAAGTCTGTACTAAGAGCATGTCTGAAAATACATACAGAGCATCCCACCACAACCAGAAACATTTGGGCCACCATTTAGTGCACAGTCTATGTCACACAGTCACCCTGTGAGTCTCTGAGCTACTTAAGACACTGATTCCTGACACTCCTTGAGGATGCAGTCCAATGAGACCATTTAGCTGATTCAGTCATATTACTGAATTCATGCTCAGAGATCTGTGGCAGATCTCCATTTACAGCAACCAAAGGGAATAATTCCTACATCTTTTCTGCAAAAGATATTGTCCACATTATAGAGAAAACAGATTATCCCTCAGAAATAGGACATCTAGCACTGCTTGAAGTCAACTTTGAAAAGAAAAAAACTTTTTACTGCTCTACATGACAGAACTTCAGTCACTACAAGACATCCAAGCAATACAGAATTGACCCCTAAAAGCCAGCGTGACATTCTGACAGTGATGCATTGCTGTTCCTTATGTCAAGGGAGTGCACATCAGCAGCTGGCTGATGCAGGAATTGGACACACATCCTTTTGCTGGAATACAACCTCCTTATAGGCCTTGCCTTCATTCCAGCCTGTCAGGAGAATTTCTTCCACTGCACCCGAACATATTGCAAGTGTTTTGCCTGTTTGATGAAACAGCAACTCTTCATTTGTTTCCTTCCAGAGTGCAAGATGCAGCCTCAGAGAATCTTCCTCACACATCAAGCATTCATGTATGAAAATGTAATTTAAGGCAACTATTTAAATAATGAGAAAAGCTACAAGACTCTGTTAATAGATGTGGTTTGTAAAAAGCTGACCTAACCTTATGGGACACTTTCCACTTCAAATATAAGAATCGAGATTCCGTGTAGAATTTCTTCATAAATTTATTTTGATACATTTAAAATACATAGTTTATGACAGCTCTATTATGAAAATGAAAAAAGCACTTAAAAGTGTTGTTGAATATTGGAATGTAAATCTCAGAGCTCCTTATCTTATGAAGTAAGTCTTTTTGTGTGCATAAAACACAGTTCAAGTATTTCCTAGAAAACAGATGACAAATCCGGGTGTAATCTTCATACAAAGTTATTTCAGATGCCTAATACCTGTAAAATTATAGCTGTGCCTGGTCCTAAATTTGATGGCCTTTCAATACAGCCATTATAAAAAACAGTTTTCACGTTCTTATAATTCAATAATAAAAATTTGATTCAGGATGCATCTTGGCATAAGAGTGTTTGGACCAGAATATACAAACAAGTGTCTACAGGTAGAGGAGAGTGCACTTTCCTCTGGTCATAGGAGCCAGGATCTCTCCCTAAAAAGATGATATTTGCATTTACAATGTTCATAGTCATATCATTCACATACATGGGATCAGTTTCAAGAGAATAGCAAGCAATCTGCATTTTTACCTACCTGCCCTGTAAGTCTGCACTGAGCAACTGAAGAACAAAAGCCCTTCCTTCCTACAGTAAAGTGAAAGGCATGTAGAAACTCAAACAGTATTTTAACAAGTTTAAAATAGTAAAAATAAAAATGAGCTCTTAAAAAATCTAAAAAAAAAAGCCTAAGAGACATTTTCCTGATATGCAATACTACTTTAAAGTTAAGAACCACTTAGCTACTGTACTAAATTCCCCAAATTACTATTTTTTAAACTTGATCTAGAAAAGAATAAGAGGATAGGCCACCCTGATGAGGCCTTCCTGCTGGGCTTGGGCAAAGGAATAACGTAAATTGAGAAGCCGGATCTGATCCTAAAAACTCTTTTCAACAACATGAGACTCTGGCAAGAGCAAAGGGAGAGGCTGGTTGGTTATTTTAGCCAATGCACATGTGCTACTGCCTGCAGCTCACAGCTGCTGAATTAGGCAGTGGGAGCAAAAAGACACATGGGCAGGCATCTTTAAGCAGAAAAAGATACAAGCAGCAACGTTTGGACTCATCTTTCAAATGCACCAATATCCAGCAGCTCTCCAATCACGGCAACAGGCACCACTTTGCTTTCATTGTGCCCAGCCACAAATTAAACAACTGAGAAATGTTTGCCCACTCCACAGTATGGCACCCTAAGAGCCTGCCAGCTAGATTAGGATTAGAGTTTCACTGGCTCTGAAAGTTTGGGAGGAAGAGAAGCAGCTGTGGTTGAGAAGAACACGCATACACAAAAAGCAGTCATCCTCATTCCTGCTCTATTGTATGTTTTAAGCACAGTGAAAAGCCACCTTCCAGAGACTGGACCCATGGCATAGCAGAGAGAATGCTAATCTTTCCCACACCCCATCATTCAGGGTTTACAACATAACTGAAGAGATAAATGCACACAAGTGTGACCAAAAAAAATTTACAAAGAGAAGAAATAGCGGGGATAATTATAAATACCCACATGTAATCTGACTATAGGAACAACTCAAGTAACAATCAAGTCATATTAAAATCAGCAGGTGACCAGGAGGAGAAGGGAAGGCTCAGCTCAACTGTTTGGTGTTGTTTAACTTTTGCCAATTTCAAGTGCCCCTTACAGACATCCCTCTTTCCTTTTACAACAGCCTATTTCTATTATTTTTGTGGTTCTGAAGAGGAGCACGGGGTCTGCCAAGAAGATTCCTGCTCATTGCTATGTGCCAAACACAAATCATAAACCAAATTATCTTTCTCCACTGTTTCTGGAACTGTGCTCTAAACAGCAACATCCCCCCAGCTATAATGCACACATACCTCAACCCTCACCTCCACAACAATCACATATGACATGAGTTCTCTGTCCTTCTGTCTCTGCCAGAAGACTTCTGTGACCTGAGATGTACTTGGGACATTGCCAGGTGGCTCATCTCCTACCCTTTTATTTGTAGCTAGCAAAGGTATTCTAATAGAATGTACAGACTCTTTACTATTCACGGCTGGCATTTAGATCTCTGCCTTGATGAGCTGTGTATCAACAGCCAGCCACTGACTCACCAAAGAGTCCTAGCCTTTTTCAGAAATCAGCATGTTGTCACAAAAGGAAAAAAATATAACAATCTCTGTTTGAAATGACAACTAAATTTTCCTATTCAGAACTATATGCAAATCCAAGTCAAAACAGTGACTGAATAGCCTACAGACAAGCCAAGTGATGGCACAGCCACAGGTTTTGCTATGGTAGATTTTTTGAGGTTCTTTTGGAAGGTGGGGTGTGTGTTAATTTTTAGTAATATAATAGAAATGCCAGTCTTACAATTGAGAACCACTTAAAACCTAGTGGGCAGTCAAGATTCCTTTCATTTCTGTAGATAGCTGTCCAAGTTCTGCTTTCCCTCTTCTTCTCCCACGTCCTTTTCATCATCACACTATTATGCTGTATCAGTTAACATAAATAATGCCACAGCTAAGTCTCCAGTAATTCATTATATATCTCACTAATGAGAAAATTAAGATAAGATGACATATTTTACTAAGAACAAATTTAAGATACCATCTCAGTTGTTTTATATACTTGTGTGTTTTACATGAAAAAGCCTATCCCAGTGCTGTACAAGCAACTGCATCAGACCCATGTGCCTACAGGACCTGTAGTAATTGTGCACAGCATCTAATCAAGTATGAAGAAGGGCTTTTGTGCCTGAAAAGTTTGTCTTTTTTATCCTCCCCGTCCCAAATCAGACACCTGACTGGCAGGAAAGGCACATTTATTTGGGAGAAACAACATACCACCACTGCACATAATCAAGTCTAATGAGCTTGCTTCTTTATACTTTTCTTTAACAGCTGCATTTTTTAATGTATGAGGTCCCTTCTTTAACTGAAAAATGTCTCTCTGTTTCAAAAGCAACAGTCTGTAGATCTCTACATTTCTTCAAGTATCTTCTACGCTTTTCCTATTAACTGACAACAATTAATCAACAATTTTTTTTTCCAGACAAGCATGGATACTTCACTTCTACCTGTAGCAGCTGAATAAAACACAGGAACATACTGAATCTAAAGAGTCTTATAGTCCATGAATCTTCAGAAATGCAAGTCATGACAGACCACGCTCAAAGACCACTCAACCTGAATATGGATTTATCCTTTGTATGATTAAAATTAGCAGTACTTAGAACAGCAGCATCCTGACAATACAAGTGATATCAAAGAAAACATGGAAGTACAGAAAAGTATTAGTAAGCCACAAAGAGCATGGGGTTCAAATAGAATAAGCACTAGCAACAAACTAACCACAGAAGTATGGTACCCTTAGAGGAATCATTGCATGACCTTCACATTAAAAACCAAGCCTGAACACAAAGATGCACACCACCACCAAAGACAGCCTAGTAAAGGCTCTGTAATGACAAACTATTTAGGTTCACCTCACTTGGAGCAGCAAAATAACTGCTGTTACTCTGAAACTGTTCATGCTTTATTTAAAAATAAGAGGCACATACTTTTGTGATACGGGACTATGAACCACTTGTCTTCAAGTTTCAAATTATCAAAGTCTGAAGAAACAAATAACCTTAAAAATCACTACGGACAAAGATGCTCAGGACAGAACAAGTGATGGCCCCACTGTTCAAGAAGAGCCTCAAGATGTTCTGTAACAGGAAGCACAGAAGTCCAAATATCAAGATTATCCAAAGCTCTCAATTCCATCCTTTGCAAACTACAATCAATAAGTGTTTTATTACAAATACTTAGACATTCTTTCCGTATATTTTCTCTTGAGAATCTGCTACACTCACAACCAATTCTACCATTACAGTTTGTGTGGGGTTTTTGTCAAAAGATGCCAGTACTTTTCTGGCTACATCTGCTCTATCCAAAGCATTTCAAACATTCACTAATCACTTGCTTTTAAGTGTACACATAGTGTGCGTATATATATTTCCATGTCTTTACATTGTACCTGGTGTCTGATAGGAGTACTGTACTTGGAAAAATGTATTTACATCACAGTGCCTACAAAATTAAAACTTGATAACTCGCTTTTACATAACATTCAGATAACTTATAATAAAGTCAAGAACTCAGTTTTGCATTCAAGTCCACAGAAAAAATTTCAGAACTCAAATTTAAGGTATCTGTTTAAGTTCTAAAGAAACTTGAGGGGGTTAAGCAAACCATTACAATCAGCAAAATTGGAGTATTCCTGGAAACTTCCATGTTTATCCAAAAGCACCAGTTTAGTAGAAGGTGGTTTCAATATAGTCAGTACACACTCTCCTAACACTTTAAGGTACATATACACAGACATAGAACTCCAAAGACAAAACTATTAAGGACTGAATGCAGAGGTAACAAGACCTCAAACTCTGCAGTTAGGCCCAATTCAATTTTCATTTGTAGTATTTTCTATGAGGAAAAAAATCAAAACTCAAACCCAAAACCTTTTTTCAAGTAAAGCGACAGCAATTTTTTTTAAATACTCCCAGTATTCTTGGCTGCAGAATATCTCCTGGCCAGAAGATAGATTAAAGCAAACCAGAAAAGTCTATTATAAATATTCTTGCTATGATACTGAATTAAAGGGACTGTATTCTTTTGTTGGGAATTACCTAGATTAGCATGCATCCTCATTTTCCTTTTGGCTTGAGTAACTCCACTAGCCTGCACTGCAAACCCCTTTTTTTCATTCAGCGATCTTAACACATTTTAAGCAGATGTATTGTCAAATGTATGACATGCCAATCTGTTTATCATTAAAATGAAAAATCAATGTCCAATTCAAGCATAAACAGGAGTTGAATGTTCAAGCTGTCATTGAAGATGACATATAATTATTGAATATGAATTGTACTTGGCAAATTATTATTTCCTGAAAAGAACAACAGACAGTAGCAAGGAACTTTTCACAGCAAGTCAGTGTAGTGCCACTTATAGCCAGGGAACTAATTTTATGAATGCAGAAAGATACCTATGCAGCCAAAAGAAGCAATGAGAAAACAATCACTGTTAAATTTAATCATTATGTATGTTTAGATGATGAGAGAATATGTAGCTTTATGTTACTGGGCTGAGTCCAGACTTTTATTCAAAACAGGAGTACTGAAAATAAGAACTTTAAAAAATACTATGAGGTTTCAGTTCCAGACCATTAATTTTTCAGTCAAATCAAACTATCATTTAATTGAATCCTGATGCTAAAACTTGGATTCTACATGAAAAATTTGAAACTAAAGCACATAGAATAATTTGTTATGTTGAGCTATTCAGCCCAATATGTCTAGGAAAAAAAAAAAGTACAACAAACTCAAAATAACATTAGTCTACTTTCTGTGATGACACAGAACTAATAACAAAAGGAAACTAAGCATTGTCCTGGCCAAGAAACTAAGCCCTTAACTACCATTACTTTTGAGCAAATGCTCAATTTTAAAACAAACTTGTAAAATGACAGAAAATACTCAGCAGGAATATAATATCCATCAGTACGTTACTTGTGACATGCGCCCCCCCGTCCCCAAAAAAAAAAAAAAAAAACATTTCACAGGCAGCTAGAAATTTTAGGAATCCTCTTAGAGCCTGTACAAAAAAGCTTGCTCTTCAGGAGGAGTAGAACAATTTCTAAGTAAAGAAAACTATCTCTAAAAGAGTGTCCAATCAAATATTTAAACACTATGGCGATGGAGAAAGGGGCCATTTCACTGGCATACTTTTAATTCTATACCAAAAGAGAATTTCAATTCAGAAAAGGAAACAGGAGTTCTTCCTCTGGTTTTGAATTGCAATTTACAGAAACATCCAAATCTGGCCTTTTTGGGGGGCTTAAATTAACATTTTGTTCCTTCTTGAATCTCATAATTCTTGATCTCTTCCACTGCTGAGTCCCTAGTTAGCACCAGCTGCATAACGAAAGAAAAAAGGCCCTCCACGTCATTCAGCTAACCAGCTGTGAACTTTTTCAGACAGACAAGGGCATGCTGAAAGTATATGGCAGCCTTCAGCTGGGGAGCTGAAAGTATCCTGGTTCTGCTGAACAGTTGACAGCTTCTATTTGCACGTGAACCAAAGCATCTCAGTCTTAAAATAGCCTTGGTACATGAGAAACCATCTAAGATTTCAAACAACAACGACCGAGAAGCCAGTATGCTGCCAGGTCATAAACATTAACAGAAACCCAAAATCCCATTTATCCTTCCTAATAGCAATCCTATAGACAAGGACAAAAGGTAGAGTGCATGTTGGGAAGAAGGGATGAAGAAGAAGTCAGGAAAAAAACCCCAGCATTCTAATTAAACATTACAGTTAAATCCTTTGAGTTCTTCACCAGTTACAGGGCTCACAGCTGCAGACTACCAAAAACATGTGGTATTTCTATTTTGCAGATAGGAGAAAACATTAGACTTTTACTTCAACACTTCCCAACGTAATGATCAGCTAGGATAAACTAAAAGTAGCATTGTTATCATAATTAAATGATCAGGAAAAGTAATTTTTACAGCCCTTTCACTCCACAGTATCTTTGTTTCATTAACACTAATAAGAATGCCCAGCATTTAGCATATCTACAGATTGGACCAGATATTTCAGAAGTTAAGCACCTGAACACTAATTTTGACACTTCTAAACCTACTTACATTTCCCTCCCCTCCCCCAGGTCAGACTTTTTACAAGACTAAAGGATATGCTCTAACATCTATACTAAAAGTATATTTAACAAACCCTCAAAGATGCAGCAGCCTCCTGATACTCGATTGGTATTCCAGCCTACACCCCCAAAAAAATTATTTTCAAACAGTGTATGTTGAATTAGTACAACCAGTTTCTTCCATTCAGCAGAAGAACAGAGATATGCTTTAATCTCAAAAAAAAAAAAATTTACATAATTGAAACAAAAGCTTTTGTATAACAGTAGAAATCAAAGGTTTACTAATAATCTTTTAAATACTAACCTGCTAATACAAAGTTCCCTAATACATTAAAATCCAGCTTTACTTTGTCAAAAAACAGCATCTCTTCTGTTACTGCTAAAACAGGGACTGTCTTACCTTTAATAAGGGAACAGTGAAGAGTTTGACATATTTAAGAAAGATAAAGCTCACTAATTTTTTCTGTTGCTTGCTTATAAAAGTAGGGCACAATTCTCTTGTGTACACATTTACACATATTCAATATGTGTAGACAGAAAGTGGACGGAATTGCTGAAAACAACTCTTCCTCCTCAATGAATTCTTGGGATGGAGAAAAATTCTCCAGATCTTTAGCTTCCCAAGACAAAGAGGCCTTCAACCCCAGCAAAAATAATCCTCCCAGAGCTGGTATTTAAAGTGCCAACACCTGACTGGAGTTAACAGGTGTTAGCAGTTATAGAAATGGTGCTGTTGATTGCTACTCTGTGGTTTTTTCCCACTGCCTGTCCTAAGACCAATATTTCTGGTTGCCCGTAAGAATGAGAAATTTTAACTGGGAAGGCAGCACTTTTCTGAGTGGAAGCATCATTCCAGGAAAAAAGTCACCCTTTGATAAGCCTGTAACCTATTAAAAGAAGAGAAAGATAATTTTCTTTTCTCTCTTAAAAATTTAAATATTAAAAAAAGTCTCTTTTTCAGTAATGTGTAGCATATGGGGCAAGGTACAGTTCTGCATTAGAGTGAATTTTCTGTATCACTAGGAAAATTCATAAGGTTGAATTCAAATCCTTGTATAAATTGTATGTAAACATTTCCAGAATGGAAATCTGGAGTAAATGTGCAAGATCAAAAATCTGGAAAGCTGATGTAGGAGAGAGAGAACAGAGAAACAAGCAAAAAGTCTCAAAAAAGTGGGTCCTCTGGTAGAGTGATGGAATGGGAGCTCACAATCAACTCTGTAGTTCATCCTTCCAAGGATGAAAAAAGCACCCTTCAGGAGCACTTAAAGGATGTGAAGATGCCCTCCTTTCATATTATCATATCACCCGTAAATGCACAGTTACTTATTGCTTGTACCACAGCTCAGCAGGCGTGACAAGCAGCCCAAGAGTGAAGCGTGTTGTGTTTCATTGTGCTTCAGCAGATTAGGAAAACCCACGGACAGGTTTTCTAAAGAAACAGACTGTCATTTGACACCGTCTGGGTAGCTGCAGCCTTCACTCTGTGTGAACTGACACTAACTGGCCTTTCCAGGTACCAGGCAGGGATGGAGTTTGGCAGGCATTGATGCTGCTGCCCATCATGCCCATTTCTGTGCCCACTGTGAAACTTTGGTCTGCCCAAGCCCTACAAAAATCCTTACCTGCTCGTTCACAGGAACACTTCTGCCATAGCAGCAGCTGCAACTCCTGCTTAAGTATCTGGAAATCTTTTTCTCTCACCCCCCTGTCTGTGAAGTGCCAAGAAGGAGCCCAGCTGTTCAGCACTGGTTTGCTGATTTCTTTGGAAAAGCTTAGAGAAGTAACAAGTGGGCTGCTTTCCTTTTCTGCGGGAGAAGAAGAGCCTTTATAACTGGGGAGGGGGAAAAAAAAATTACCTCAGGACTTTTCACTGGTCCCTTGCCCTGTGTAAACTCAAGAATCTCAAAATCTTCACCCTCACTGTATTTTGAGCCTTTCTCTGCCATCTTGCAGCTCTCAGAGCTGCAGAGGAAGTGTCTCTGCCTATCACGCACAGGGCTACATATGAGGCAAAGCCCATATTTCAGGCTTCTCGTCTTTTTGCAGAGTGCAGTCAGCTACTGAGCACACTCAAAAGAGATCTTATCGTGCCTTTAAAAAAGATTTTTCTCCCAAACCAAGCAAAGGGGGAGTGGCCAATGTCATCTACATTCTTGCCATGTTTTATAGCTCAAACATCAGATCGCTCATGCTGTAATGCAGTTTATAAAGTGTGTTTGGAGGGAATGAAAACAAAGCAAAAAATTTGGTGGGGTTTTTTGTTGTTTTTTTTTTTCACTGCTTGCAGATCAAAAGGCTTACATGCCATACTTTCACCACAAAGCAAATGTTTGTGCTAAGTAAACTCCCAACAATTGAGATTATAATGAAAGCACTAACAGCAATTTTTGTTGACCTACAGCTCACTTATAATCACAGGTATATTCAGTAGCTTTTAAATTCTGAGAAGACAGAAATAACTTCCAGGCTTTTCATATAATGCAGTGTTTTCTGAACCTCCCTGCTTTAATTTGGGCTTTCCTTTCATGGGAAGGTAATTGCCACAAAGTTTTCATGGCCCCTTGTGTTTCCAGTGCTCTAAGGCAAAAAGAAAAATCAGTTAAAGACAAATAGACTGTGTAAAAATGTTTGGTCTCAGAAATCAGGAGGGAAAACAACAACCAAAATGTGCTATAGCTACTCAGTAGCGTGCAGAGACAGATAAATCAGCTGCAGAAAGATCTCCTTCAGTTTCCAACCAGTCTGCTTAATTTAAAAGGTCTCTTTATTTTCTCCCTAAAGTTTACATGGGGAATACATTATTTTACATAGCCTGATGCTAAACAGAGAGAGGCAGCACAACTCCTACCCCCAAAAACAGTGGCAGGAGTAAAACCCTGCCCAGGATGGTAAAAGCTTGCAAATTAAGGCCAGTAGAGAGCAGACAGGGAAAAAAAAAGTGATATAAGCAGGTGTGTAGAGTTCAGTCACGACATCAATGGCTGTAGATACCATTAACAACTCCACAAACCTGTATTCCATGAGGGTTCATGGAGCATCCCCAGTTAGAGTCAAAGGTGAAGGGATGACCCAGCTGAATGGAGAATTGGTTTATGTGACATGATCTCCTCAGGAGATTCTGTCGACACCACCCACCAGTGAAAGCAGCTGGGAAGATTGCCTCCCCCTGCACCAAGCTGCTTCTCTGTTCAGCAGGGTGGTACAACCCTGGCAGAGTTGGCAGACACGCTGCTCTCCTGAAAGCAAGATTCCTGAAAGCAGAGATAAGTGGGGGAGAAACCTGCCAGCAATCTCTCCTCTTCTGCTTTCTTGTCTGCTTGAGTGATTTGGATACATTCATTCCCAAAATCAAAATTTTCAAAATCAAAATTAATATCAAGAATATTTTTGCTTTTCTTGTCAAGTTTGACCTCAAATTCAGCGTTTCTTCTACCTGGGGAATACTAAGACATTCCTACAGTGTACCTATAAACTTATCTTTTAGCTCAGGTGTTGGACTTTGTAGGGTTTTTTAACCTGATAATATTTCCAAATCTATTCTTTATTTTATTATACTCACATTGTGCTTCCAAACACTTTTCAGGAAGCTGTGCAAACATGCCTAAAAATATGGCTTTTCATGATTGCCACAATTTCATCAAGAGCCTTTTTACCTAACCTGCCACATCAAGCTAACCATAAATTTGAATAACAGATCACATCATAAATTCCATCAGAAAAAATATTTTCCTGAAAGCATTCAACATCCTCTCTGACGGAGGCGGTCAGAATAGTTCCATATAAAATTAAGGGAAGGGAAAATAAAAATAAAATAAAGAAGCAGCCCTCAGCTGGTGAAGAAAATTTAGCACTACATCTCCAAGTGAAACACTTTTTAAATGCAGTGTCTAATATGGAGCCAGCACTTGGACACAGTGTATTACAGTGAGTAAGAGAGCTTGGCCACGCTCCCAGACAGAGAGCAACCCACCGGGTGCTGCCACCTTTGCCCTTCCTCAAGCGATTTTCCCAAATGCCTCTTAATACTTTAACCTTCCTAAAGCGTGGAGACTTTCCAAAGGCTGGGGCACAGCCTGGCCAGCCGCTCTGACCACCTAGCAGCCACCCTGGGGTGCTGCTGAGGGACTGGCACAGGGGCAGCACGTCCTGCCTGGTGGGTCAGGGACGTCAGGGCTGGAGCCTCCCCTCACAGTGGCAGGGCTTCCCAGGCTGTCCCAGTTAAACAGCTGGGCTGCTGTTCAGCTCTGTTTGCCTTGCTTTCAGCCAGCTCCTCAGGCACTGAAGCCTGTCTTGACTCTGGCCACATCCTATATCACCTCATGCCACAGAGGAGGGCAGTGACAGGTGTCCCTTCCAACACAAGAGCAAGGTCTCCCTATACTGGGAGAGATTTTGCCCTCCCCCTCATCACTCCACTGCCATCAGGGATGGGGGTTTGTGATCCCCTGCACTCCTGGGTGGGTCTGTACATGTGCCAGCCATGGGTGAGGAGGCACAGCAGTGGCTGCAGTGAGGCTGATGTGCAGTGGCCCCTCAGGCAGCCATGAGCCGCCCCGGGCCTGTCGCAGCCAGCCCCAGCCATCTTCGAAGGCCAGGTAGTGCAACAGTCCTGCCACCTACCAAAACCTGGCTGTACATCCCAAAAACTCATATCAGAGCCTCAGAGCACACACAACACCCCTTCCCAAATATTCTTACCGAAAAAAACCCATCAGCCAGGACAGAAGATGCAGTCCACGGCCTTCCGTGCTGAGGGGGGCAATTGCGGTGAGGGGCTGAGGCTGAACCTGAGGGGGACCCGCACCAGGGCAGGGACAGCCCGGAGGAGGCAGAAAGGAGACAGAAAGGTTTGCTGTGAGGAATGATGTGAGATCAGGCACAGACAGTATTTTCAGTGTGCATCTACCTTTTCAGCCACGTGTGGCTCAGATAGCAAGACCCAGGAATGGATCGATTGCACATCATCACACTGAATGATCACGAAATCATGTGTGAGAGGAGAGTAAAGTCCAAGTAATGCACATTTACTTCATCTGCTTCAATAAGCTTAATCACAACTGTGTTGTGTCCAAAGGAGGAAAGAGTATTGTTTTGTAACAAAACCACATTATAAAGATAATTTAGGGTCATTCTGGCATCAATTCTCCCCTTTCTCCTTCAGAAACACAAAGGCCACAGCCAGAGATTACATGTTTTAAGTGGAGCATTTTGCAGCTTGAGAGATGGACTGGCAGCAACAAAGGCAAGTGAGACACAGGAGAAGCAGTCACTTGATGAACGTGACAGAGGCTCCCTGAAGAGGGGGAGCACAAACACTGCCGGCACTCGTGGCATGAGGGATGGGTCCCTCCGTGCTGTGACAGACAGAAGGTGTGACACCTTGCCTGCTTTCCAGATGAAAGTGGCAGGGAGACTGTGACACTCCAACACTGGCAGCACTGTTGTAGTGTAGTACCTGTTTTTTGAAAAATGTGACATCCTCTTCAGCCTACACCTGCAGCACTTACCAGAAGGTCTAATTTTACCAAGTATGGATGAAAATAAATTAAGTAACTACACTGAGATCCTGGATTTCCATAAGCTTTGGAAAAGATTTTCAAAGAAACATAGAGAGTCGTGTCA